TCAAGCAGTTCACTGGACCTTTCCCTTTTAGGGAAAGACATCATAGTTAATTTACCAGAAATACATGGCTCGCATATTTTGAATGCAATTTCTCCTAAATTAGGGAGCAAACCTCTTTTAACCAGTTGATTCATTCTGTCATTATTTATATGTCCTAATCTTAAGTGTCATAAATATGGATCATCCATCTATATAAAAGCATCAAAAGAGGCATCAATATAACCAGAAAATGATGAACCTTCATTAATATTCAGTCTTGGAAAAGAAAAATTAGTCCCATCGAGTATTTCAAGTTTGGATAGTTCTGACATGACTAGCCTAAATGCCATTTTAAATTTTTAAATAATACCTAAAAGTTCAAAATTTTAATTATGTTTAAGAAAGGGTTGTTTGCTAGCTAAATCAATAGGTTTGCCGACGCTCAGTGAACTGCAACTTCAAAGAAAAATTTTCTCAAATAGTTTATGTTTGCATTGCTGTGATACAACAAAAAATCAATAAAGTAAGGTAACTACTACTTTATGTCAAATCTCGCATAAAAATAAATTTCATAAATATGTGAATATGTCTTAACACAAGAGAGAGAGAGTTTGCCATGATATTTGATATTTTCAACAAAATATATGGCATAACATAATTACAAAAAATGAATTCACAAAATCAAGATCATGAAATTTTTTTTTAAAAAAAAAGGATAAAGCATAGAATAATTTTGATAATTATTATGTAAATAAAATATGTAGAAAATCTCTAATTTATAAGCCACAAAAAAAAATACATGCAAGGTAATGAATTATCATGCAAATAAAATATGCATAAATATCTCTAAATTATAAACCAAGCATGCAAAATAAACATATAAATCAACATCAAAATTTAGAGATTAAAATTAACAGAGATCCTTTGAGGCCGAGTTTGTGTTTTAGACAAAACACAATTGTTTCCCTGTAAAACAAACTTTAGTGGACTTGTGTAGGAAAAGAAAAATATTGAAAATCACTGAAATTTCAGTGAATTTAACTGTGATATTGACAAGCTTTCTTCCTTTGGTTTCCGTTCTTTTTAACTTCAAGAGGTTCCGAGTTATGAAACTTGTAAAAAAAATGTGCGTGCTTATGGGGGTGATCTAGACTCAAGAAAAAATAAGATATAAACAAAAGATCGAAATCGGATTGCACAATATAATAATGCTGAAAAAACTACGGATATTGAAAAGAACAAATTTTATAAAAAGAAATGGCTAGGATTTGAGAGAAAATCAAGCGTTTTCATCTAAAGACGATGTACACCCATAAAAAAAAATAAAAATGAAAAAAATATGGCCTCAAATAACAGAAAATGCAAGCATAAATCCCATGTTATTTCTCTCACAGATTGCAAAAAACAAAAAATCCAACTTTCAAAGAGGGAAGTACCCAATAAGCATATACAGAGAGAAGTACCCTAGATTGAAGCCCTAATAAGCATATAGAGAGATTGAAGCCCTAGTTAGCATATAGAGAGAAAAGTACCCAAGATTTTCCATAGAGAGCGACCTCAAGATTTTGCATAGAGAGCGACCCCAAGCTTTTGCAGTGAGATAAAACACTGCAAGCTTTTGCATAGAGAGAAGTACCCAAGATTTTGCAAAGCCACAGAGAGGGGGAGGGAACAATAATCAAATAGAATAAAAGTAAAAAAATAAATAATGGAACCTGATAGCTCTGATACCAATGTTGGAGTATGTGGGAAGAGATGAACCCCAAAACTCCAAGGATTACTAGCGGTGTCATGAGATTGAGGATCGCATCGTAGAGGGTTTTCCTGAACAATGAGAACTTAAAGCTTCTTTGTGTATGCCTCTCCATGGTCATAAAAGACCTAGTTATAGAAAGATAGAGGTGGTCGTTTTCCAACACTCGGCTTTCTTCTTAAAACTCTGAAAAATGTAGCCTTGTAATTCTGGGATGTGGGTGGTTATTTTCTACCCATTAGATAACGGGACTCTCTCTCTAAGAAGAGTCATTATTTAATGACAAGCATAATATTTATGATGAAGATTAAAGAGAGAAAAAATAGCATGTATGAGGGCCCCATGGCTACCCATACATACCACCATCATTGAGGATGTCACATTGTCAAAATGATGGATCTTTTTTATTTTTCTTTTTTTTTGGAGTAATTTATTGGTGAAGATAGGCCCTTACCGGTTTTATGAGTTAGCTTTCTGAAAGTGCCGGTGGGTCAGTGAGATTGAAAACCGCAACCTAGTAACTAGGTGTGGGGGTGCTATCACCATGACCCAGCCACTTTTGGATTCTAAAGATGAATTGAAGGTGACAACATTAAGCAAAGGAAAAGAACATCCATATGGGATTGCACATAAAAAAAGTAAAAGTACGGAATAGTAGTCTAATCAAAATGTTGTATTGTGTACATCAATGAAAAGATAAATGCTCCAAAAAATGTGAAATTTAATCAAACTTAATTATACAAAGTAAAATAACAACCACCTTTATTGTCAAATAAAAAAAGAAAGGAAAAAACAAAAACCTTACTTATACCAAGCAATAATGTATGCAAAGCTAAATATTCGACCCTCACACGTAATTCTTAGCCACCACCTGATTCTTCAATTTTAGTCGAATTTCTCTTTGTTCCTCTTTGCGATGTGCTCTTGTTTAAATGAAAATCAAAAGAGATTTTTCATTAAATGAATCTTTTCACCCTACTACTATGTTTATGGGAATATGTTTTCTTTGATGGAAAATAGGTCGTTTTTTTTTTTTTGGGAATTTTGGTGAATATTGGATGACAAAAGTCTTTTGGGGGAATATCCTTTGGAATAAGTTGGTGAAATTTTTGTATGCAATTTTTTGTTAAATGAATATGATTAATTTAAGGGTGTTGTTTATATAAAGTTGCAACATTAAACAATCAAATTAAGGCGTACCTCTAAATTTTATCATAAATATAATTTTACTGTAAAAAATTCTTAAGATGGCATGAAAATCCATTTTGATATTTAATTATAAAAAATTTAAACTTCAAAATGGTTCACATCAAGTAGATCCATAAACACATGAAAATTTTGAAATTGGATGGTCCACCTAATGTGTTGCAAGATACACTATTTTTGGATTCAAATGTGTTTTTTTTTTTCATATTCATACGATGGTGAGATGATCATGTAGAGGGTTTTCCAATATTAAAACAAACTTTTATAATGGATTTTTGAGGTGCACCTTAATTCTACATTTTAAGGTTACAACTTTATATAAATTTTTTCCTTAATTTAATTTTAATTTTTGCAAGCTTCTCTCAAATTATTTCATAGAAATGAAGATGAAAAATAAAAAACTGCAATGCTGAATGCGAAGATATTTTTAGATTTAGTTTTTATTTTTATAAATAAATTGAGCATCTGTATAAGTTCCATTAGAAAACAAGATTTTTTAAGACATTTGAAAAAACTCGCAGTTTTCATCATGCCTAAGAAATTGGATATTTTTTTAAAAATCATGTTTTAGGGGCCGTTTCGATACCTGAAAATATAATGTCTGTGAAATATATTACTGGCGTAATATATTACAGCGTAATATATTACTTGCAAATGGATTGTCACTGTTTGGGCAGTATTTAGATGCCTATAATGTATTACCTGCAAATGAATTTTCACTGTTTGGGTAGTATTTAGATGTAACCTGGGAAATACATTGTTACTGTTTGGCTATGTCTAGAAGAAATATGGGAAATGCATTTCCAACTATTTTTTTTTTATTTTTTGGCTTTATACCCAAAACATGGTTGAGCACACAATCCCTATTACTATGTAACTTAAACTTTATAATTGTATCAGCCATAAGAATTAGCCATTCCTTTTGTATGCCTTTGTGTCTTGACTTGGAATCACATGTTTTCAAGATGTTAACACTAACATGTTAACACTTTGGAATAACATACTTTTATTATGATAAGCCATCATGTTTTTTATGTTTTATTCTAATGTGATAAAGCCTTTCGATCATTTCTAAAACTTCCATCGGCAAATTCAAAAGAAAATACAAAAGTTTGGAGGATTTAACTAGTAACCTAGAAGGCTTTATGACTAAATGAGATGTATTAGAGGGGAAATTATGTTGGGGCATTAGAAGAGATTGAAGAGGTAAATTAATTTCAAAAACCACACTAATTTCACGATTCTCTTTGGGTGAACTCAAATATTTCGAATTTATCAACAAATAATAGTAGCAAAAAAGAAAAAATAAAGCCAAAATAATAAACAGATTGATTTTAGCAGAGAACCCAAATGCGTTTATTTTTTAGATCAATAGCTAGTTGCAAAACCCAAGAAATACATCTTGAATATCTGAAAATAAACAATAGCTTATTGGAACAATAGATCTGTGGTAAACCCAAAAAATAAATCTTGGATATATGGAAATAAACAATAGATCTGTGTGGTAAACCCAAAAAATAAATCTTGGATATCTGCAAATAAACAATAGCTATCGTTGCAAAGATGGGCGGCTGGGTTTTAATTATTTGTTGAAAAAGATAGGTTGTTATAGGCTGCGGTGCTAGTTGAAGAAGATAGGCTATTGTGAATTATGAGATTTAAATATATGTGTGATTCAGTTTGTAAAGAGAATTATTGGGGGAAGATAGGTGATTTATGAGGTTTAAATATATATGTGATTCAGTTTGTAAAGGGAATTATTGGGGCAGGCTTAGTTGAAGAAATTTTTTTATTTTTTTTAAATTTTTTTTTGTGATTTATTAAGAGGTGCATGATTGAATTTCTTCTCATTACTCGTCAAGTGCGTAATAATTTTTCACTTTAAGCTGTGCACCTAATAGATTTACTGAAAAATCTCGAGTAACTTTTTTTCATTTCCTTAATGTTGGAGTGTAACCGCGCATAATAAATTTACTGAAAAATGTCGAGTAGTCTACTTCCATAGTGAAAATATCATATTTACGTGTAATCTATTTCCAAATGATATGTTACCACGTTCACAAGCTAAGCCCCTAAACCCTAAAAACGTTCAACGGCTATGGTATGTAATTTCAGTAGCTTATCCAGACAAACCATATACCTCTCTAAAACCCTCTCCCAAAATCCCCCCCTCTCCCTCTGCCCATTGACCTCCCAAAACCTCCTCTGATACATTTTCCATTTCTCTTCCCAAGACCTCTCTCTCTTCATTTCGCTATGGTTTTCTTGCGGACGTAAACAATTTCTCCCGGTTTTCTTGCTAAGTCAAAAGCATTTCTTCTGGTCTATTGACCTTTTGAAGCCTAATAATGCCTGGGCAGCTTCTCTCTCTGCGTGTCCTTAAAGGCTCTGCGTCTGCAACAACGGCTGTACCCTTTCTGAAACCGCACTGTACCTCTGGTTCTCTCCCTACTGTTTCCATTTTCACAAGGTTATTCCCGTATAAGCTCAAATACGTCTCTATCTTTTCAAACCCTACCCATCTTGAACGCTATAAACACGTCGCTACAAAACCTATTTATAAGTCTGGGTTCCATCAGTTCTCCACTAGGTCGAGCAGGGAGAGACCGTCTTGCTTTTCTCGTGGGCCAACAGCTTCCATTCATAGAGATTCAGGGTTTAGAAGTGCGAAATTAGGACAAAGCAAGAGCTTGGTGGAAGACGAGGCAGAGCTCAGTGACTGGATAAGTGACCTAAAAACTGATTCTTTGAAGCTGGGTTTGTCTGATAGTGATTCAGACATGGATTCTAGCTTTTCTAAGAAAAATCACCGAGATTCTAGCGACGATGGCTTGAAAAAGAGGCAGAAAAATGGCAATTTGGGTAATGGGGTTTTCTCGAGGAAGCGTTTTGACAAAGATTCGGATGATGATGTTTTTGAAAAACAGAGAGGTACGAGGGATTCACTTGGTGGGTCTCTCTCTAAAAAGCGATCAGATAGGGGTTTTGAAGGGCGTGGTTCAAGGGGTGGTCCTAATGGTGGGTCTTTCTTAAAGAAGAGAGATGATTTGAGTTTGAATGAGAAAATGAGAGATTTTGGGGGTTTAGCAAGGGGATCTCTTTCTAGGAAGAGGTTTAATAGTGATTCAAAGGAGGGTGAAGGCTTTGTCAAAAGCAAAAGTAGAGGTTCTTATTCGAAATATGGTCAAGGCCGACAAGATGGATTTTTGCAGCAAAGAGAGATTGGGGTGGGAAGAGAGAGGCCAAGAATGATTGAGGATGAAGATGAAGATGAAGGTGAAGATGAAGATGATGAGGATTCGGGATCTGATGATGCTTGGATCAGTGAGGAAGAGGGAGAGGGAGAGGGAGAGGGAGGAGTTGGGGCCTTAACTGGAGGTGGATTAAAGTGGAAATTAGCTGAAGAAAATAATGAGCGTGGAGGTGGATTACAGCCAAAATTAGCTGAAGAAAATAGTGAGCATTCTGATTCTTATTTAAGTCAGACGAGGTATGTTAATTGTGCTTCTTATCCAATGTCTCTTTTTGTATGTTTCAGAATTCCCTTCAATTGAGTTTTCGTAGCGCATCATTAATGAGACCCATAATACGAAGTGTAGCTGATCTTTTCAGGAAACTAGATGGCTGTGATTGGAACATTCCAGAATTTGACCGTATCTTGAATGTATAAATTATTATTGATGAATGAAATTTGATCCTTTCGTACTAGTCATGCATGGTGTCCATTCATGATTACACATTCTCTGCATGGTGGATTCTTTCACATTCCGTCTATTATTTATTTAAAGGAGATATATGTTTCCTTGGTTCTCTTTTTGGGGGTTCCATTGATTCTTTGACATCAAAGAATTTCTTGCCATGCTGGCTAATCCACAGTAATTGGATGTAGGTACCAGAATATCACAAACACTAGAGAGACAATATGTTGTTAGGATGGAGAGTCAATCACTTGGATAAAATAGTCATTTGATGCTAACTCACTACACCTTTTATTGGTTTTTCCCTGGACTACAAATGGCTACCAATATACTTCAAATTTCAAAACAGTTATGATCAACATGTTGCTTGACAAATGCGAAATTAGTAGGCGAGTTTAGACATTACAATTGGCAACCGACGGAAGCTTTAAATTTATGGTGACATGTGCACTACATGTTTCATGTGGAGTTGACAGTTGCGACATGTAAAGGGAAGGATGAAAGCTATAAAAAAATGATTTTTTGTGAAATGGTTAGTCATTAGACTCTCCAGAGTCATCCATCCATTAGATGAGGAGGAAGTTGAAGCAACAATTGAAAGATATGTGCCCTGGATGTATTAGGAAATTGGTTCAAGACGGGATGAAGTAGAATAAGTAGGTTGTAGACTGGAAAAGACCTAAACTCTCATTCGGACCATACAATGAGTCAGAAATGTGCAAAGAGCTTCATGGCAATGAGTTATGCATAAATGCTTTGGCTCATCGATGGTAGTGATAATTGATGACAATTGCTACATGTCTTATTTATTTGGTAATTGCAAGAAAGCTTCATAGAACTGATATGAGAAGCTCTAATAGCAAGGAGGATTGTGTTAGTGGCCTGCATGGGGCACTATTAAAGCATAGTTATGCAGGTGTCATAATTTATAATCATCAATTGCACTTCTAAAATTTGTTGTCTAGCCTAGTTTGAGAACATGGTATATTGTCCTGGACACTAATTGAGATCAAACAAGGAATTTACATTGACATGACAATACTTTTTGCCCTTATAGTTTGATGAGGATGGATTGACGGTAAGTAGCGCCTTTAAGACTAAGTTAATCTTGTAGGGCATATGGACATAAGAAACATAGTACATCTTGGACTGGAATGTGAACCTCAATACATAACTGCTGTAATGTGGCTGGGTTATCTTGGCAATATAGTCAGAACATGTGCTTCCAATTGTTTTATCCGGTGGTGGGGACTTGAGTGCTCACATAGTGAGGTGCAACAAATGCACACATGATTTCAATTATCTTAATTCCCTACTTTCTAGTTGATATACTTTGTCCCAATAAACTGCATCATTGCGGTAAAAAAATTGGTGGTTTTGTTGATGCACTTGTCATTCTTTAGATTCTTTGTGTGAAAGTGAAGTATAGTTGCTGGGATCTCCCAACCTAGGTGTCGATCGTATTGTGGAATCTCGCGCTGTGCTATTGGAAAGGGATCTTCAAGGGATCCTGATTTTCAATTTTTGGGATCTCAATCACCACTGTTAGGTATCTTGATCCCTACCTTGGGGAACCTTGACCCCCACCTTAAAGACAAAGATAACAACCAAACTGGTGATTTACTTTATTTATGGCCAGCTGACAATGCAATTATACTTTTAATACAGTTGAATTACTTGCAGGCTATAATAAAGAAATTCTTACTTTAAGGAGTACATATAATCTTAGACTATATATAATCTCAATAGTTGGGATGTAGTACCCAAAAGGTAGGGATTGGTGATGAAGTTGCCCATTTGGTTGGGATCGAGATCTCTAACATTTGGGGATCTCAATCCTTAGTATATGCCTTGTACATACATATGGCTCCCCAACTATAGGGATCTTTAAGCCTTTCATGAACCCCTGCTCTTGATCATATCCTACTTCGATCCCAACATCTATGAAGCAAGTTTGCTAGTTGTTACTTGTTATGTTTCGGGAATATGAAATGCCATGGTGCAACAATCCATGAATCAACATGTACAAAAAAGCACAAAAACTGAGAAAAGTGAATTGAATATAAGTACTATTTGCAACAAATTAAATAATTCGCAAAAAGTTCTTAGAGAGCTTTGTTTTCATTTCTATAGTTGTCAATGAAGCAGAAGAAGTGCCAAGTTCCTTTAGGGCATGACGAGGGGCTGTTAGCTGAATGGTAGCTAAGAGTATCTCTAATGGATAGATGTCCTTTCTGAACTCTCTCTGAAACAAGAGAATCTATATGCCTACTTCCTGGATCAGCTTATGAGAAACTTTCTTTGGTCGGGTCAGGTTGACAAAAGTAAGTTCCATCTTATCTGATAAGATTCTTTTACCCAAATCTCAAGGGGGACTGGGGACAGAAATTTGAGAAAACACAACATCGCCCTCTTAGGGAAATGGTGGCGGCGTTTGGCCACCCAACCTGGTTCTCTTTGGTCTCAAGTCCTTCGGAATAAGTACAATGTCTCGACCCTTTCGTGGATCCCAGATGACAGATCTTGGTCCAACGCTTCAGGGGTGTGGAGGTCTATTATGGCTTCCCTTTCTTCTCTCAAGAAACACTTAAGACTATGCCCTAGAGAGGGAAATAGAGTGAGGTTTTGGACTGATTCATGGCTAGGTGATGCCCCTTTCAAGGATTCCCATCCCTTACTGTTCTCTGTTGTGAGGAATAAAGAAGCTACTGTTGAGGACGAGTTCAGTATTGAAGGAGGTAGGAGACGTTGGAATCCATCTTTTAGAAAGAACCTTTCTGAGGATGAAACCCTTCAATTTCTCTCTCTCTCATCGCTGCTCTTCAACACCTTCATCCCGATCCAGGGGAGGGACAAGCTGGTGTGGTCCCTTGCCCCCTCGGGAGAATTCAACGTCGCTTCCTTCTACAAGAGTCTCATCCAAACCCCTACCTTCCCCCTCAATCCTACTTCGACTCTCGCACTAGTTTGGAAGATCATTGCTCCCCCAACAGTACAAACCTTTAACTGGATAGCAGGATCTAACAGGGCACTCACAATGGATCAACTTCAAAGGAAAGGTATCCCTATTCCTAATAGGTGTGCCATGTGTTTGAACCATGAGGAATCCAATAACCACCTCGTCCTCCACTGTAACGTGGCCCATGAGATTTGGAGTCTCCTCCTTCAACTCTTTCTGGTGCATTGGGTCTTACCCTCGACTGTAAAAGATCTTTTGGCGTTAAATTTGGCTGAGCATTGGCCGAAAGCTGGTAGAATCATTTGGAAAGCTATTGTGGCAGCAACAATATGGACCATTTGGATTGAAAGAAATGGCCGTATTTTTAGGGGAGAGTCCACCCCCGCCTCTCGGTTTCTGGGCGGCTAATCATCCCTGGTTCAAAGGCATTCCTTGGGACTCTTTCTGCCGGAATTAGGAGCATATTTTATTCCATAACCCAAAGAAAAACAAAGTTATTGTTGCTTGGACGGCTCCTCCCCAAGGAACTATCAAACTTAATTTTGACGGTTGTTCTCTCGGCAATTCGGGGCATGCAGAGGTTGGAGGGGTCTTTAGAGACCACCTTCAAAATGTCCTCTTCTCCTTCTCTGAATACATTGGGGTCCATGACTCGCAGTTCGCTAAATCTATGGCTCTCCTTGGAGGCATTCAAAGCTTTGATCGGTCCTGGGGATAGTTTCTCACTGTCGAGGGTAATGCCAAAAACATTATTTATTGGGCTTCTAAGACAGTTCTTCCCCCTTGGTACCTCTTACCCATTTATGATGAAATCGACTACCTCTGCAGGGATACGCCAAACTTATGGAGGCATACCTCAAGGACGTCGAACGGGTTCGCCGATCTACTAGCTAAGGATGGAGCCAAAGCTAGAGCAAAAGACTAGTGGTGTTATGTGTTTTTTGTGGAGCTCAAAGGGAGGTGTTATGGGGTTTTTTGCGGAGCTCTAAGGGACTGTGCTTTTATTTGATTCTCTTCCTCGCCCCCTTTGTATCTTTTTTGTACACTAACTCTTTACTGTGTAAGGGGACTTCTTATAACCCTATTTTGTTTACGATCTTTTGACCCATTTTTTACCAGAAGCCCTACCTTTTAGGCACTCCTAGTTTGCCTTGTCTCTTGTATCTATCTCTCTTTCTCAATACAAACGTTAACAGTTATCAAAAAAAAAAGAAGAAAGAGAATCTATATCGATGCTCATTTTTTTTGATTACATGGCAATAAGAGCTCGGTAACCCTCCGTAATCTAAGAATCTCCTCTGTTATATCAACTTGTCTCTGGGCGGATCGATGCTCCACAAGCAAGGGATTTGAGCAGTGATGAGAAGCAAAGTCATGACCCATTAGACGGGTTCTTGCTTTAGCTTCCACTCAGTCACATATGCTAGCCAACTCATGTAGTTCTTAACTATTCTGCCAAGTCTATCTCCCCAAGTGGGAGATCTTACATCATAAATATTCTGCCTGAGGGTGTATAGAAACTAAATCTCATACACTTGGAGTACAACTATGTCAAAACTTGAGACAATACAACTTAAATTTTACACAATACACTTGAAATTGAACTTAAAACTTGGAATTACAGCAAGGTTACTGTGATTACAGTGAACAATTGACTTCAAAATACGCTAAAAAAACATATGATACAACTCAATTAGGGTCCCTTGTCCATCAACAAAACAAAGTACTCAAAGAGATCATCAAACTACACATGTATGAGGTAAGGGGATCTCCTCCCCACTTAACTACATGTATGAGGTGCTTTTGAAAATTCTGCTCCACTCAAAATTATAA